TCCAACCAGACTTAAAGGAATTGTCTTCTGCTGTGCTGGTATGAGGTTCTTTGTGTCATCTGAAAATGTGTTGTTACCTGTAAAAATTACATTTACATATTTTTATACTGATTTAATGGTAATAAAATGCAGATCTCATCCGTTTTTCCAAAATTAAGGAATCTCCTAAGCCCCACCCCTCACATACAGCAATACAGCCAGGCATAGACTTCCTATGTGAGCAATTACCAGGAAGAAGCAGCACAAAGTCATACCTACCTTTGTTAAACACATGGGCGTCCTTCCATAGAGCTGCACACAGAGCTTTTCTCTAATATTTCTTCCACTTCTGCTGTACTTGGAGAGCTTATTACTGGGATCAAAAGTTCTGCTCTCTGAATTGAAAATCGAAGATAGTGACCCTAAAAAAAACAAAAAACTTTGTTTAAAAAATTGCATTTATTATCTTTATTTAAATAAATGCATTATTGCATTTATATATTTTTTTAAAAAATAATAATAATAAGTTATTCATTTTATTCATAGGTTTATTTATCCCACCCACAGCTCCACCTGCCTGGTGTTTGCATGTTCTCCCTGTGCCTGGTGGAACTTTTCCTCTTGAGGGTACTCCGGTTTCCTCCCACTTTCCAAAGACATGCTGGTAGGTTTAATTGGCTCCTGTCTAAATTGGGCCCTAGTATGTGTATGTATGAATGTGAGTTAGGGACCTTAGATTGTCTGCCCCTTGAGGGTTAGGGACTGATGTGAATGTACAATATATATGTAAAGCGCTGCATAAAATTATTGCGCTATATAAGTACCTGAAATAACTAATAAATAATACGTTTATAAGCTGAATTTTATGCTTTTTCATTATTTGTATAAAATTGATAGTTTAAATATATATATACTGTACTGTATAATATGGGGTACTTCCATGAAACTTTGTTTGCAAACCATGCTTGACTTTCTAATAAGAAAGGATAGCACTTCCTCTGCACTTTAATTGATCTTGTTGGATTTGGTGCAAACGCACACAGAGGATTTTTACAGTCTGGGTGTCTGTTGTGTTGCAGTACTTTTAAAAAATATCTTAACCAGGGGCGGACTGGCAACTCATGGGGTCCCCCGGGCAATAGGGGATTATGGGGCCCTGTGCCCTTGCCCAAACTCAAAATAGCTTATGAAAAAGGTACCAGGGGCATCTCATGGGGCCCCCTACTGACCCCCGGGCCCTCGGGCAGTGCCTGAGTTTCCAAATGGTCAGTCCGCCCCTGATCTAAACCATGGAATGTAATATTGCACCTTATCAGTCCTTAGATCTGGTGGCTGCATTTGTTTTCTTTTTTTTGCAAGACTTTTTTTTTTACCCATTATTTTTACCTGGTGATCCTGCAAATAATATGCTTCCTGTCCTAGGGTGATAATGTCTACTCCACTGTTTATGGAGGGAGCCATGGTCATCACCCAGGCTAGACTTCAAACATGCCTGCTGTTGTTCAAGTCAATTACATGGGGGAGGAGTGACTAATTAATTTAATTGAATTTCAGGTACTTATATAGCGCCGTCAATTTACGCAGCACTTTACATATATATTGTACATTCACATCAGTCCCTAACCCTCAAGGGGTGTACAATCTAATCTATCTAGTAGTTTATAGAAGGAAAAAACACTGTTTTATTATTATTATATTATTATTATTATTATTTATTATTATTATTATTATTATTATTATGCTGTTTTATGCTTCCAGTTCAGCCACCACATCTGAAGATTGGTAAGCTGCCATAAAATTTTCTCTCTCAATAAATAAATAAATAAACAAACAAATGGGCAGCACAGTTGCTAAATGGTTAGCACTTCCGCCTGGTAGTACTATGGTCATTGATTCGAATCCCAACCACGGCACCACCTGCCTGGAGTTTGCTTGTTCTCCCTGTGCCTGCGTGGGTTTCCTCCGGATACTCCAGTTTCCTCCCACACTCCAAAGACATGCTGGTAGGTTAATTGGATCCTGTCTAAATTGTCCCTAGTATGTGTATGTATGAATGTAAGTTAGGGACCTTAGATTGTACGCCCCTTGAGGGTTAGGGACTGATGTGAATGTACAATATATATGTAAAGTGCTGCGTAAATTGACGGCGCTATATAAGTACTTGAAATAATAATAATAAATATATATATACATATATCACATTGTAAAGTGCTATGCAAAACTGTTGGTGCTATATAAATCCTCTAAATTACAGTATAATTGTATATTTATTAAATTTTGTGTGTGTGTGTGGCTTCACATGTACTTGCAAAAGTATGTGAGAAACACTAAAAAAAACAAAGACCAGAGCAATTTTAATTTTTTTCATTTCTGCTATGGGTCTGTTTATTCCACTACTTGGAGACTACTTGGGATAACATAATACATACTGTATATAATTTTGGTATAATTTGTTGGTACAATTGTCATGCAGAAATTATTTTATTATGCAATCCATATAACAAAACTGCAAAAAAAAAAAATCTACTTTGATTGGTGTTTGTCCTGTTTAAAATGACATTACAATTATTATTCTGGTACAAAATATTGTAAAGTTATTTACGATGAACAAGAAATGAATGAAAAGGCTTTGTTTTTCAATTTTGCACTTTTGTTTTTATTGTGGCCTAAAAAAACATTAGCGAATAGAATGAATAAAAAATAAAAAAAGGTTAAATATTAATCGTTAAAAAAAAAAAAAAAAAAAAAATTGGCAGGATTAAGGCAAGAAGGGGAAAAGGGAGTTAAAAAGGGCTGATTAGGGTAAACTATAGATAACATAGGAAAATATTTTTTAACTTGTCAGGTTGCTTTAAAGTATAACCAAAGGCAAAACGTTTTTTTTTTTTAGTTTTGGATAGAGTGGAGAGGGATTAGAACACCTATTAAGTATTTATTGCTGTCTGTGTCTCCCGTTGGGGAGATTCACCCTCTCTATATGTCCTGTTTACCATTATCATTGAAAGGGAAAGTTAAACAAAATCCCAAATATTGGGTTGCCCCCAGACAAGCAATAGAAGGGACATCTTCCAATGGGGAAACTAGTTCTGGTGACCTGGGGGTCCCAAAAGAATTCTGGTAATTTGAAGGGATTTCCTCTCACGTACTCTTTGGCTTTGGGACGGGAAGTGAAGGGAAATCTCCCCGATGGGACACAGATGGCAGAAAAAATCTGATGGGGGTTATAACCCTCCCTTCTATTCAAAGTAGAAGAAAAAAAAGGTTTTGCTATAGCTCTACTTTAACTGGTATCATATGCAGATCAATGCTCATACCTTTAACCACCTCCCGTCCGGCCGTTCTATATAAATGGCCGACGGTGGCAGTGCAGGGTCGGGTGGCCGTTTATAAACGGCCTCCCGCACCCTGCTTGTGCGCCCTCCCTGGGAGCGTGCAGCACCGCGATCCAGTGCCTGCTGTGTCCTCCGGACACAGTGAAACACTGATCATCGGACGGGACCTCTGTACGAGGTCCCGATCATGTGATCACTGATTGGCCAATCAGTGATCACATGCAAAGTAGTAAGCAAGATGTCACTTCTGACATCATTGCTTACTACATGTGAAATCTGTGAATGATCACAGAGGTCACATGGTACAGGGCTATTCACAACAGCCTTGTACCATGTGACAAGCTGTGACCAATCACAGCTCACACAGTATTTCTCAATGGCTGCAAGAATGCAGACACAGAAAGAGAAATGATTGCTTTTACATCCTATATGGGTATAAAAGCAATCAGTGTAAAAAAAAAAAAAAAATCTTCATCACCCCCCACAAGTAGTACAGTGTCACCATGGTGACACTGTACTGCTAGGGTGACAGTATGTAAAAAAAAAAAAAAAAAAAAACCCAAATAATATAAAAAAATAAAATAAAAATGTAAAAAAAATGTTTAAAAATTATAATTTTTGGTTATAAACTAATTTGGCGTATTTCTTTTTTACTAAAAAGATAACAGAATAAATGTTGGCCAAGATTTATGATTAAATATTATTTATTTGCAAAATTTTATAAGAAAAACACTTTTTTTTCAAAATTTTTGGACTGTTTCATTTACATAGCAAAAAAAAAAAAATAAAAATCCCAGCGGTGAATAAATACCACCAAAATAAAGCTTTATCTGTCTCAAAAAAATGGTAAAAAAATTAGTATGGGTACAGTGTTGCATGACCGTGCAATTGTCATTCAAAGTGTGATAGCGCTGAAAGCTGGACAGGAATGGGGTAAAAGTGTCCGGACAGGAAGTGGTTAATCTGAAGATGAAAGAAACAGAGCAACAGGACAATGTTACTTTGTTTCTCTCTCTCGCTCTCTCTGTCAGACAGTTGGTTTCTGACTACAGCAGTTACTGAAGCTGCTATAATTACACAGCAACTCCCGGCTGTCATTTTTGACAGCTGGAATTGCCAGAAGGGGAGCCCAGCAAGGGCAGAAGGCAAGGCATACTACACATGCCCTGAGTACTTCAATGAACTATAGCACACCTAATGTCCACTACCGGTGAAATGTTTTAACAGTGTAAGGCCCCTTTCACATGGGTGTCCATGTTTCATCTGTCCGTTTACGGATGAAAAATGGACACCCGTGTATTTCTATGGACTAGATGATCATCTGTTTATATCCATTAATGTCCACATCCGTTAACTGCTTGCTGACCAGCCACAGTAGATATACTGCGGCAGGGCGGCACTGCTGCACAAAATCACGTATATATACATGATTTTGCATATCCGGGTAGGGGGTACGCACGACCACCCTACCCGTGTCGCTGATCGCGGCCGCGGGTGTCAATAACCGGGTCCCGGATGGTGATTATCCGCCAGAGCTCGGTGATTGCCGGCAAACACTGACAGGGAGGAGTGCTGCATTGTTTACAATGGAGCTCTCCTCCCTGTCAGTTTGGGCACACTGATCGGGTGATAAATACCACCAAAAGAAAGCTCAATTTGTGGGGAAAAAAAGGACGTAAATTTAATTTGGGTGCAGCGTTGCATGACCGCGCAATTGTTAATTAAAATAACAGAGTGCCGTAACACAAACCGCTTCTGTAAGATCTGTTTTTTGAACGGAAGAAAACTCTATTTTCTTACATTAAAAAAAACGGAAAGGATGAAAAACTGATGTAAACAGAAGAAAAACGGATGTAAACGGACAAAAATGGATGTAAACGGATGAAACCGGATGTAAATGGATGAAAAACAGATGTAAACTGATGAAAAACTGATGAAAAAAAACGGAACGCCCGTGTGAAAGGGGCCTAATTAGGGTTTTTTTGTGCTGATCAACTGGATTGAGTGTTTGGTTTTTTTTTTGCATTGTTTAGTGCATTGTCCTGCCCATTCACACCTTTCCTGCACCAAATGTACATTGGTCAGCACTGGTGATATGCTTCTAAATCTATAAAATATGGGACAAGAATTGTAAGTCTCCCACCATTGTCCTGGAATGGTTCAGAAGTTTGAAGTTCCTGAAGATTCGATTGCTCTGACTGTAATACTTGGGAAACACTTGCAGCAAGACATGATCCAATAGTGCTTCTTGAAGTGCAATTGGTAATCCTTTCTGTAACATATAGAAAATATCATTAGAATGGGTAAAATACTAACCAGGTGGAATTAGCAATAAAATTGCATGGAAACTATCTGACAGCACATCTTGGTCAGAAGCACACGTCCATTCCTGCTGACTAGACAGCAAAATAGTAACTGCAGCCCAATGGTTTGTCATCTCTCTCTCTCTCCTTCTGTCAGTATGCTCACTGCCAGCACATGGAAAGCAGCCGAACCTGATTGACTCCTTGTGCTTGTCCCTGTCGGCCTTACGGGGGTTTCGGGAGGCTAAATTTAAGTAGTTCCATTAGATGCATTTAACCTCCCTAGCGGTCTGATTATTTCCATTTTTCTGTGCTCAAAGCGGTACATTTTTTTGCATGGAAATATGTTTTTTTTTATTATAGGCCTGTAATTTTTAGGAATAACTCACTGAAATCTGTCTGAACAAGAGTCTAGTAAACATCCCGGGTATGTTACAATTTGAAACAAGAAATCATAAATTATAATTTAATAAATAATCATACAAAAATAATAATATAATAATAATACATTGAATTCAATAATATAATCAAATCAAAAACACTGAAATTTGAAATAGAGCGCCAAGTTCGCACATCACTGAGCAAAGTCGCAAAATCGTTTTCAGTGTCTGATGAGGAATTTCCCCCACGAATCATTATCATTCAATTCTGCAAGTGGTTCTGATTTACTATCGCTGTTCTCTAGCCGGTCTAAAACCGCTTTTAACCTAAAGGGACACTTTTTGGACGCCATGGTCGTTTCTCAGTTTCCAGGCAGAAAGAACAGTAAAATTGCAGGCAGGGCACAGGACAAAGCACTCGGGACAAAATGTATGTGAAATGGTTTGATACAGGAATGTTTTACTATGGGATTTTAGTGATTTTAGTGAATGTCACTTTTTGTCATTTTCAAATTTCCTGCCGTTCCGTCCCCCGTACGTCCCGACGCTCGCAGGGGACGGAACCCAGATGACAGATGCCGGCATCCGCCGGAGGACATTGCCAGGGACACTGCAGGGTGGACATCGCGGGAGCGCAGGACAAGGTAAGTGATCGAGGGATCGTGGAGCAGCGCCGCATGGTAAGCCTGAGTGTAGCTCGGAGTTACCGCTTCTGGTACTGAAACTTTACCCCGAGCTACACTCGGGAATACCGCCAGGGAGGTTAAAAAAAAAAAATGTACTGAACAGGGACGGACTGACAACTCATGGGGCCCCCGGGCAATAGGGGATTATGGGGCCCCTGTGTCCTAGCCCACATTCAAACCACACCCAAAAAAGCCTGTGAAAGGTACCAAGGGCATCTCATGGGGCCCCCTACAGACCTCGGGCAATGCCCGAGTGCCCATATGGTCAGTCCGCCCCTGGTACTGAATATACATCAGTCAGCTATAATATTATGAATACCTAATATTGAGTTGGTCCCCTGTTTACTGCCAAAACTGCCCTAACCAATCAAGGCATGGACACCACCTGACCTCTGAAGGTATGTTGTGGTATCTGGCACCAAGCCGTCAATATCAGATCCTTTAAGTCCTGTAAGTTGTAAGGTGGGGCCTCCATGTATTGGGCGTCCAATAGTGCAAATCTCTTCTCCTGGTAAGTGATGCACATGCACCTGGCCATCCACATGATATGAAAGAATACGTGACCAGGCCATCTTCTTCCATTACTCTGTGGTCCAGTTCTGATGCTCATATGCCCATTGTAGGAGCTTTTGGCTGTGTACTCGGGTTAGCATGGGCACCCTGACTGGTCTGCAGCTACACAACCCCATACAGAACCATCAAAACCAGCATTTAAGCAGGCCATAGACAGCTCGAAAACCTGGCGTTTTTTTCGTCCGATAAACGAAACCAACGTAACCACCAATGATTACGAAAATCGGCCAACCAAGTCATAAAAATCAAGACATATAACGGGAAATTACAGGTCATGGCTCATGCGCATATTTTTTTTTCTCGTAAAAACGATCGTACGATTTGACCATCATTAACGCGAAAATTGGTCGTTTTCCACATATTTTCCAACATGACCAATAATCCAAAAATGGAAAAAACGTGAAAACCAGCCGATGAATTAACCCACTAACAGTGCGAAAATCTTTCAGACGAAAAATCGGCCGATTTTCGAACCGTTTATGGCTGGCATAACGTTTTCAGAAATTTGAGCTACAGTATCTCTTTTATTGGATTGGACTACACGGTCCAGCCTTCACTCCTCACGTGCATCAATGGAGTAGATTTACCAAAGGCAAATAGACTGCAAATAAATGTGGTAAAGCTTTGCTGACAGTTATCATCCAATCATGTTCAAGCAAAAATGTGTTTTTTTTTATTTTCCTGGCATGTGATTTGGTATTCTTTGCAAAGTGAAGGTTTTACTTCATTTACTAAGCTTTGCAGCAAATGCCCTTACAAAGTGCACAGTCTATTTGCCTTCAGTAATTCCACCCCTATCTCTGCCTTCCTGTTCTAGTGGCAGCCACTTCCTTCATTTCGTGTTCTGCTTTTACAAGGACATGAAGTGGAGGGGAATCTTCCCAAAGGTATCAGAAAAAAGAAATTGGAGAGAAGCATTTACCCTTCCCAAAATTGCAAAAATATGTCTTAACTAGAGTTGGGCCTTTAATCCCTTCAAGTCCAACCCACTGACCATGGCTCTTAGGAACTGTCTAAGCAGACCACAAATTCAGTCATGTAAAGGTCTACCTAAATTTATTCAAATTACAATCAGGCATTACTTATCTATTGGTAGATCTAGATGAGGTTATCTAATCAGATTGTTAAATATATGGTTAACATTAATAGCGCACCTCTATAAAAACTAGCTGGGACAGCTTGGCCAGCAGACAGACTGACCAATACAGAAAACTAATGCTGGCCATAGATGGTTAGAAAATCGGCCGATTTTCGCACTGTTAGTGGGTTATTTGGTCGGCCCTTTTTGGGGTTTTTTGCACTTTGAGATTATCGGTCATGTTGGAAAATTTGCGGCCAATTTGGACGAACGGCCGATTTTCCCGGTAATGATGGCCAAATCTGCCGATCGTTTTAACGATAAAAAATTGGCGCATGAGCAGTGACCTGCAAGGGACAGAAATTATGGGGTGAACTTTATGATTTAGTCGGCCGATTTTTTTTAAACTGTTGGTGGTAACAACGGCCGAACGACCAATTTTTCGTTTATCGTTCGAAAAATCATCCGATGTTCGACCCGTCTATGGCCTGCATAACGAACCACACTAATGCAGGCCGTAGACTGCTCGAACATCGGCCGATTTCTTGAACGATAAACGAAAAAATTGGTTGTTCGTTCGGCCGACATTACCACCAACGAAAAAAAAAAAAAAAATCGGCTGACTAAATGATAAAGTTCACCACATAACTTCTGTCCCTTGCAGGTCACGGCTCATGCGCCGATTTTTTATCGTTAAAACGATCAGCCGATTTTGCCATCATTGCCGGGAAAATCGGCCGATCGTCCAAATCAGCCGCAAATTTTCCAACATGACAGATAATCTAAAATTTTAAAAAACCCGAAAACCGGTCGACCAATTAACCCACTAAGTGCAAAAATCGGACGATTTTTTTTTTTCGGCCGCAAAATTGGATGATTTTCGAACCGTCTATGGCTACCATAATGCAGGCCATAGACGGTTCGAAAAACGGCCGATTTTTCGAACGATAAACGAAAAATCGGTCTTCGTTCGGCCGACATTACCACCAACGAGTAGAAAAAAAAAAAAATCGGCCGACTAAATCATAAAGTTCACTCCATATCTTCTGTCCCTTGTAGGTCACGGCTCAGGCGCCGATTTTTTATCGTTAAAACGATCAGCCGATTTTGCCATCATTGCCAGGAAAATCATCCGATCTTCCAAATCTGCTGAAAATTTTCCAACGTGACCGATAATCTAAAATTGCAAAAAACCCAAAAAACAGCCGAACAATTAACTCACTAACAGTGTGAAAATCGGCAGTTTTTTTTTCAGCCGAAAAATCGGCCGATTTTTGAACCCGTCTGTGGCCGGCATAACCAAGAAGGGCTTAAAAACCGTAAATGTAGGGAAGTCCCACCTGCAAAGTTATTGAACGTTTGGATGAAATCGAGAGGCTCACAGTCACAAAGGTCTTCTTCAAGCTGCGGCCTCCAGCCTTCTTGGTTTTCATGATTTGAAAGATCGAGGGCTCTCTGTGCATGTGGTCTACGTCTCCTTCGAAATATTCTAAAAACAAACAAACAGAATATTTCAGTTTGGACTTTAGACCATTGGTGCTCAACCTGCAGCCTGAGGGTCATATGTAACCATTTCATACTTGCTGTGCGATCCTTTGTAGACATTGATTGAAAATGTTACTGTAATGTCTGAAATTGCTAACAAATCATCATGGTTGCGATATGTGAACAGCCCCCTCTGCCTGGTATTTTTTACAGTTCGGGTGGGTGGCCAACTAGAGGGAGAACCATGGCTCAGTCACCAATTTTTACCTTAAGGCAGTGTTTCTCAACTCCAGTCCTCATGGACCCCCAACAGGTCATGTTTTCAGGATTTCCATTATTTTGCACAGGTTATTTGATCAGTTTCACTGCCTTAGTAATTACCACAGCTGTTTCATCTGAGGGAAATCCTGAAAACATGACCTGTTGGGGGTCCATGAGGACTGGAGTTGAGAAACACTGCCTTAAGGAGACCTTAAGGCTTCCTATACCCAGGGGCGGACTGACAACTCATGGGGTCCCCGAGGCAATAGGGGATCATTGGGGCCCCTGTTTCCTTTCCTACACTCAAAGCACACCCAAAAAAAGCCTATAAAAAGGTACCAGGGGCCTTTCATGAGGCCTCCTACTGACCCCGGGCCCTCGGGCAGTGCCCGAGTGCTTGAATGGTCAGTCCACCCCTGCTTATACCTCATAACTTTACAACCTTTGCTCTAGACAGTTCCCTGCAGTCTGTAGGCTACATGACTATGCCTCTCCTCTATCACCTCTAGTTTTACATGGCATTTCTCTGTCAATTTTTTTATTCAGGGAGAAAGTACCTTACTCGGTACCTGCTCCTGCTTCCTTAACCGTCACTTAGACGAGTAAAAAATTGCCTTGGCTCATCGGCAGCCTCTTGGGATAAGATTACACACGTTTCCCTGCACCACTTGATCTTGCGCATGCACAGTGGGGAGCTGACTGTGAATCATCAGGGAGTCACAGCTGACACCCAAATTCAAGATGGTCCTGAAAAGAATTGACAAGGGGAAAAACAGCACTGGACACTATGGACTGGGACTATAACACCCTCCGGGTTAGTTAGGTAGTTTTTTTGTTAGATAGAGGCTAAGGCTGGTCATACATTATAAAATTATCTGCAGATTTTTGGTTTAGATTTACCAAAAACCATATAATAGGAGGACAAACCTAAACAACACTTTCAATTGTATCCAATTAGGCAGGCCCTTGCACTACACAGTTGAAGGTAAATCTAAAGAAAAGTGGGCAGAAAATTGGAAGATAATTGTATAATGTATGGCCAGCATAAGTAGCAGCCTGGGGATGAATCTGCCTGGGAGTGAAGTAGTGAGGTCACCTCAGGACTAGCTAGGAGGCTCTAACAGATCAGGGCTTCTGGAGCCCTCCCACCTTTCCAGAAAATTGAGAACTTTCTGGAGCAGGGAAGAGGAGGAAAGAGGCCCAGATATGCATGTTTGAGGGACCTTGGCCAACCCCCTGGCAGGAGGCTGGTGACCAAGGAAACCCTCAAATGTGGCAGAGCCTGGGGGGAGGTGTGCAGGGTAGGGTGGAAGATGGATTGAGGAAGGCTGCAGTAAGAAGCTTGGGAGGGGGCCCAGAGAGGGGAGCCTACCTACAGGCAGGTCACTGGAAAGGAGGATCTCCATTGCCTCAACATCTCCTGGGAAGGACAGCCTGAGCAGCAGGGAAGGGGCAGCCCAGCGTAAGGCCTGAAGGAAGCCACCAACCCACTAAGCTAACAGGAGAAGACAGTGTGAGTACTCTTACACCCCCTGGGCCAGATAAGGGGGGAGAGCGATCAGGTGTAACACCCAACTAGCTTCTCATCTGGGACTATTCAATCGGCAGCTCTTGGGCCCCCTTGCTCAGGGATACCCTCAGGCAGCTGGGTGAAGAGAAGGAATCATCCGGGGTCTGAGGAAGTACACCTAGGAGCCTTTAGTGCTATTCAAGAAGACACTGTTGCTAAGCTGAATCTTTGTACATAGTTGCTAAGGAGTTGTCCTCAAGTTCTTCAGTTCCTCGGGCATCCCATATACCCCTAGACCAGGGGTAGGCAACCTTAAAGAGGAGGAGATCTACCCAAAAACATGGGAGAAATCAAAGATCACCAGGCACAGTGTTACCTAGTCACACCTGCAGGTGGAGTGCAATTGGTATCACTCCACATGGGACAGGAGCCAGCACTACAGAGGAGGCATCGGATTATGCGGCTCTTGCTCCATACTACAGGGCCAGCTTTACAAGTAGTCCCTCTGCATTGCACTCTGTTTGATCCCCTGGAATGGTGGGTCAGCTAGCCCAGGCCTCGATCTACCAGTCACCTTGCCGCGATCTACAGGTTGCTGACCCCCGCCCTAGACCCTATCAAATTTTAACCCCTCAATTAAATCACAAAACCAAGCTCAAGGACTGACTCCAGTGTGCAGCGTGTGGGAAATGAGTGTTGCCTGGCCGTGCAGAGATTAGTGTGACCCAAAACAAATTCAATGGCCCTTGCAAGGGTAGTGCTACATAAACATCTGTTTCTTAAAGTGTTACTAAACCCAGGACCCTGCATTCACTATATCTGGTCTCCCCGGACCCTGCATTCACTATATCTTGTCTCCCCGGACCCTGCATTCACTATATCTGGTCTCCCCAGACCCTGCATTCACTATATCTGATTTCCCCCGACCCTGCATTCACTATATCTGGTCTCCCCGGACCCTGCATTCACTATATCTGGTCTCCCCGGACCCTGCATTCACTATATCTGGTCTCACCGGACCCTGCATTCACTATATCTGATCTCCCCCGACCCTGCATTCACTATATCCGGTCTCCCCGGATCCTGCATTCACTATATCTGATTTCCCCCGACCCTGCATTCACTATATCTGGTCTCCCCGGACCCTGCATTCACTATATCTGGGCTCCCCGGACCCTGCATTCACTATATCTGATCTCCCCCGACCCTGCAATCACTATATCTGATCTCCCCCGACCCTGCATTCACTATATCCGGTCTCCCCGGACCCTGCATTCACTATATCTGGTCTCCCCGGACCCTGCATTCACTATATCCGTTCTCCCCGGACCCTGCATTCACTATATCCGGGCTCCCCGGACCCTGCATTCACTATATCTGATCTCCCCTGACCCTGCAATCACTATATCTGATCTCCCCCGACCCTGCAATCACTATATCTGGTCTCCCAGGACCCTGCATTCACTATATCTGGGCTCCCCGGACCCTGCATTCACTATATCTGGGCTCCCCGGACCCTGCATTCACTATATCTGGGCTCCCCGGACCCTGCATTCACTATATCTGGTCTCCCCAAACCCTGCATTCACTATATCTGGTCTCCGCCGACCCTGCATTCACTATATCCGGTCTCCCCGGACCCTGCATTCACTATATCTGGTCTCCCCGGACCCTGCATTCACTATATCTGGTCTCCGCCGACCCTGCATTCACTATATCTGGTGTCCCCGGACCCGGAATTCACTATATCTGGTCTCCCAGGACCCCACATTCACTATATCTGGGCTCCCACAGTACACAGAACATGGAAATGCAATTATTTTAGTAAATATAAACTGCTAAATAACTTTTCTCATCAGCAGTTAGAGCAGTCTTGTGACTTCAGCAGAGCACTGGTTAAATCTTGTAGTAGGAGTTTTCTTTCTGCTCTAGGAGGATGTGAAAGTCCTAACCCTCTGTCTGGACAGTTTTGATTTGCCCTGTGCTGATCACATGCACTCTCCCAAGAAAAAAAAAAACCGCTCTAGCAATACACACAAAACTGAGCATGTGCATGTGACCACAGGTTCAGTCTTTATCAGGTGGTCATTTCAACAAGAGGAGGGGCAGAGAAGAAAGGATCAGACCGCCTTTTAACACAATGCAGAGCATTAACCCCTTAGGTCCCACAGTGAGTAGAACAAGCATGCTTTACTGCGTATACAGACTGATTGTACTGTTGTGGGTTTAGTAAAACTTTAAATGTCAGCAACTGCTCAAAATTAGTGTACAATAAAAAATACCTTACAACATTTTCTTTATAGGAAATGGTACATTTTGTTGGGCTGAAAGACAGATTCCCTTCATCATCCGTGTTGTAGCTGTCATCCTCAAACATGTAGTATCCATTAGAAAGTAAGCGAGGACTGTGCCGACATGGGGATGCATCAAGCGTAGGCAGGAATGATTTATTAGGTGTATCCAATCTTAGCAAATCACATGTGTCTCTAGAAAGAGAAAGATACAAATCATATTGGGGGAATCAATGGTGGAGAAGGATCTGGGGGTTCTGGTAGATCACAAGCTTAATAATGGCATGCAATGCCAAGCTGCGCTTTCTAAAGCGAGCAAAATCCTCTCTTGCATTAAAAGAGGTATAGACTCCAGAGAGAGATATCATTCCCCCCGGTACAAATCATTAGTAAGACCTCATCTGGAATATGCAGTGCAGTTTTGGGCTCCAATTCACAAAAAACAACATTGGAGAACTGGAGAAAGTACAGAGAAGGGCAACCAAACTGATAAGAGGCATGGAGGAGCTCAGCTATGAGGAAAGATTAGAGGAACTGAATGTATTCTCTCTTGAGAAGAGGAGATTAAGGGGGGATATGATCACCATGTATAATACATAAGGGGGGATATGATCTCCATGTATAATACATAGGGGGGGATATGATCTCCATGTATAATACATAAGGGGGGATATGATCTCCATGTATAATACATAAGGGGGATATGATCTCCATGTATAATACATAAGGGGGGGATATGATCTCCATGTATAATACATAAGGGGGGGATATGATCTCCATGTATAATACATAAGGGGGATATGATCTCCATGTATAATACATAAGGGGGGATATGATCTCCATGTATAATACATAAGGGGGGATATGATCTCCATGTATAATACATAAGGGGGATATGATCCCCATGTATAATACATAAGGGGGGGGATATGATCCCCATGTATAATACATAAGGGGGGGGATATGATCCCCATGTATAATACATAAGGGGGGATATGATCTCTATGTATAATACATAAGGGGGGGATATGATCTCCATGTATAATACATAAGGGGGGATATGATCTCCATGTATAATACATAAGGGGGGGGGGGATATGATCTCCATGTATAATACATAAGGGGGGGATATGATCTCCATGTATAATACATAAGGGGGGGGTGATCTCCATGTATAATACATAAGGGGGGGTATGATCTCCATGTATAATACATAAGGGGGGATATGATCTCCATGTATAATACATAGGGGGGGGTATGATCTCCATGTATAATACATAAGGGGGGATATGATCTCCATGTATAATACATAAGGGGGATATGATCTCCATGCATAATACATAAGGGGGGGATATGATCTCCATGTATAATACATAAGGGGGGATATGATCGCCATGCATAATACATAAGGGGGATATGATCTCCATGTATAATACATAAGGGGGGATATGATCTCCATGTATAATACATAAGGGGGGGATATGATCTCCATGTATAATACATAAGGGGGGATATGATCTCCATGTATAATACATAAGGGGGGATATGATCTCCATGTATAATACATAAGAGGGGATATGATCTCCATGTATAATACATAAGGGGGGATATGATCTCCATGTATAATACATAAGGGGGGATATGATCTCCATGTATAATACATAAGGGGGGATATGATCTCCATGTATAATACATAAGGGGGGATATGATCTCCATGTATAATACATAAGGGGGGATATGATCTCCATGTATAATACATAAGGGGGGATATGATCTCCATGTATAATATATAAGGGGGGATATGATCTCCATGTATAATACATAAGGGGGGATATGATCACCATGTATAATACATAAGGGGGGGGATATGATCTCCATGTATAATAGATAAGGGGGGATATGATCTCCATGTATAAAATACATAAGGGGGATATGATCACCATGTATAATACATAAGGGGGATATGATCTCCATGTATAATACATAAGGGGGATATGATCTCCATGTATAATACATAAGGGGGGATATGATCTCCATGTATAAAATACATAAGGGGGGATATGATCTCCATGTATAATACATAAGGGGGGATATGATCTCCATGTATAAAATACATAAGGGGGATATGATCTCCATGTATAATACATAAAGGGGGATATGATCTCCATGTATAATACATAAGGGGGGGATATGATCTCCATGTATAATACATAAGGGGGGGATATGATCTCCATGTATAATACATAAGGGGGGAAATGATCTCCATGTATAATACATAAGGGGGGATATGATGTCCATGTATAATACCTAAGGGGGGGGGGATATGATCTCCATGTATAATACATAAGGGGGGATATGATCTCCATGTATAATACATAAGGGGGGATATGATCTCCATGTATAATACATAAGGGGGGGATATGATCTCCATGTATAATACATAAGGGGGGATATGATCTCCATGTATAATATACATAAGGGGGGATATGATCTCCATGTATAATACATAAGGGGGGATATGATCTCCATGTATAATACATAAGGGGGGATATGATCTCCATGTATAATACATAAGGGGGATATGATCTCTCAGATCAGGAAGGAATATTTTTCCCTGCAGGAGCAAATTGGATCATGCTTTTCTGGGGTTTTTTTTTTTTGCCTTCCTCTGGATCAACTGTGGGTAAAGGATTATAACTTTTTTTTATGGTAGAACTGGATGGACTTTTGTCTTTTTTCAGCCAGACTAACTATGTAACATTCACATTTTTCTTTTAGGCGCTTCTTTTAATGCAAAAATGCTTCAAAAGCTCCTCAGTGGGAAAGTATCCTTATTGTTGCCTGTAAGCCCACTACTCCCTGTACTTCCTGTCTTAGTGACACCAATGGCAGGAAATGGAGTTGGAGAGGTGTCTCCAGGACACAATGTCACATATAGTATTAGTAACCTAACAGAGGTTCTAACCCTTTCTTAATACAAAACAAAGCAAAAATGCATAGGTTGGACATCAGCTTTAAAAGAACACGTATGTCAAATATTCACTGGAGCAGTGATATGAGCAGTCTCCATTGGAGCAATTTCCCATCACTTCCCTTGTCACTGAGATAAGTAGCTAGGAGAAATTTCTTTAAAGGGAACAGAAACAGCAATGAAAACCTTCCAAACCTTCCCTACTTTGTCAAATACTGAGGAAAGCTTTGGCTGAAGTTGTTTGGATTTACCCCAGGCTCACACCTAAGTGTTTTTTCTGCAGCGTTTTGCAGAAACGCAGTACAGTCCATTTAACGTGATTCCCTATGGGACATGTTCACATCTCCGCGTTTTCCCCTGGTGCGTTTTTGGTTCTATAGACTTCAATGGAAACGCTGCAGAAAAGCATGTATTGCGTTTTTGCTGCATTTTTGGTGTGCTTTGTGTTTTAAATCTGCCTAGCAACTAGAAAAAAATATATATGATATATGTTTCACATATCATTTGGATTTGGTGGCTCAGCCAGTTTTTTTTTTTTTTATATACTATTAACTTTATTTGTTTCAGAGATTTATTCAATTACTCATTGGGTTTGATGCTCAGGAGGGTGTTTATTAGGTTTTTTTTTTTTTGGGTCACTAGGGGGCAGTGCAGCACTATTCTTGGGGAACTCTACAGTTAAAAGCCTCTTTCCTCTTCACTGTACAGTTCCCTTTCCAAATGCAGCAGTTAGGAAGGGGACACAGTGGAGCAAATGTTCTACTCACCAGCACATCTGTAGCCTGTTACCTCACTCCCAGTGCTAGAGCAGTTCCCACCAGTCACTTAGTGCAGAACTCTATTGCTACCGAGCTTGACTTGTATTCCTCCTTCCGTACCCTCCAGCTAGGTCCCTGGGTGCCCCGTTCTGCGATATCTGTCCCTAAGTGGGGCACCAATCACTAGGGAGGGGGTCAAGCTCACCAACCCCTCACTACCAGGTCAACCATCACCAATGCCAAGTACCGACCTCCCGCTAACCGCATTCCCACCACTGCGCTGGTTACCCATGGCAATTTAGCTGCATCTCCCGCTAACTCCTCTGCACATTTAACCCTTGCAGGGTGGCCCTCTTACATCTTCTTTTCGTCCACTTTTGTACAAGCCCTGTTCAGATATGCCCTGCATGCACCCCTTTGTGGATGAACTTCAGACCAGGCACTGAAACAGTTAAAGGAACTTAAAGGGCCAGTTCACACTCCATGCATTTCAGTTGCTTTGTTTCTGCATCCAAAACGCACAGAAAGTAGGTTAAATGGTTGTCAATGTCATAGTTCACATCAGTGCTTGCAGTTACAGTGTATTCCAGTTGCAAAAAAAAAAAAAGTAGAACAGGCTGCATTTTTCCTGCAAAGAACTGTACTGAAATGTGGTAAGACGTATAAAAAACACACCGGAACGCACTGGAAGGCCCCAAAAATGCACTGGAACGCTCATGTCCCTATTTCCATTGAAGAACAAAAGAGGGGGAAATTAACTGGAAAGTATCAAAAACGCACCGGAATGTGTCAAAAATACAGTGGAACAGGTAAAAAAAATGCATCAAAAACGCACCGGAACATTCCAAAAAAAGTGTCAAAAACGTGCATACAGAAACGCAGCCAGAACACATCTAGACTGTGTCCCTAAGGTGTGAACCAGCCTTAAGGGCCTGTTCAACTCATGGGGCCCCCGGGCAATAGGTGATCATGGGGCCCCTGTGTCCTTGCCAAACTCAAACAAGCCTATGAAAAAGGTACCAGGGGCATCTCATGGGGCCCCCTACTGACCCCGGGCATCTGTGAACCGTGCAGCAAGTACAGACATTTTCAGCAGTCTCTTACAGCTAGTCTTTGGCATAGCTCTGTCTCCTCCAGGGGCGGACAGACCATTTGGAAACTTGGGCACTGCCCGAGGGCCCAGGGTCAGTAGGGGGCCCCATGAGATGCCCCTGGTACCTTTTTCATAGGCTTGTTTGAGTTTGGCAAGGACACAGGGGCCCCATGATCACCTATTGCCCGGGGGCCCCATGAGTTGTCAGTCCGCCCCTGCTCCTGCCTATTGGTGTCCATCCAGCACTCCTGCTCCGCTATGGTCTACTAATGGTATTCCCCTGCTTGATCCAGAGAGTCCGTCCAGCCCTGCTGCTAGCACGATCAATAGGCACTCATGGCACTCAGTACTCTTGCACCACCTGTCTGCTCTATCAGA